GAGGGGTCCTTCCTTTGGGAACAGCAGGGTTTGGGAGGAAGGGGCAGCACTGTGAGGAGCTTCTGTAGGATGGAGCAGCTCCCTGGGGTATCTGTCAGAGACAGCGTCGGTCCCATAACCACCCTGAATGGGAAGATAAATCCTCTTCCATTCCCCCACAGAGCTGGAGAACCAGGAGTCCCGGGTGTCGGAGATCCACAGCCTCGTCCATCGGCTCCCRGAGAAAAACAGGCAGATGCTGCACTTGCTCATGAACCATTTGGCAAAGTACGTCTATGACTGATGTGTTTTTCTCTCCTTTTTTCCACTTCCTCTGAAAGTTAATAGTGGTGGAAAAGTTTCCTTGTGTGTGGGGTTGAGTCATATCTGGTTGGCAACTGGAAACCCGCATGTGAGGGAACGGAGGGCTGAGAGACCGAGTGGGGAGGGAGGGATGAGATGGGGAGGGGTGAGGGAGGGGAGGGGTGAGGGAGGGGAGGGGTGAGGGAGCCCCCAGCCCCACAGCAGCACCAGGACCCCACTCACTCCTGGGAATCTCATGCTTTTATGGCCTGGAATGGGTTTGGCCGCCCTGGCTGTCCAGGGGGCAGAGCAGATGTGAAGCTTCTCACGTGGTTTCAGAGCAAATCTGCCATTAAAAGACTAAAAGTGATTTCTTTGCTCAACAAACGRCTACTGTGGGGCGTATTTTCCTCCTTTCTGCACCCTGATGAATCAATATTTTTRTGTTGCCTTGAAACTTTGCGAGGGCGAAGGAATGGGATAATTTTTTTCTTTCAGCGGTAGCGCTGACCTGTAATTTCCCATCTTCTTCCTGCTCCTGCAGGTTGCCATGGAAACCTTTGATTAGTGTTTTAGAAGTGAAAGCATCATCAGGTGTTTGTGGCAGCCTCAAGGCTGCGGGGTTGGAGCTGCCTGTGCTGTTGGCAAAGGGATGGGGCAGGACTGGGAAAGCTGGGCAGTGACTTCATTGGGATAACACTTAGGAGAAGATCTGCAAGAACCCAAATTGTCTGTTTAAAAGGAAAAATAACAAATGATACTTGTAATAGGCTTGAACACAACTCCAGATGCTTTCTTGTGGCCTGGCTTTGTGTCTGYTCCATGGAGTCCCTGGCAAGGCTGTTGAAAACCAAATTGCTGGTTTAGGTGTTGGTTTCAAACCTTCTGCATTTCCAGCCTGAAGCCAAGGCCAAGTGGTTCCTGGTGCTTCCATCAGCCAGATGGGATTGCTCAGAGCAGCTGGGGCTGATCCCTGGATCCCTGAAATGTCCAAGGCCAGGCTGGACAGGGCTTGGAACAGCCTGGGACAATGGGAGGTGTCCCTGCCATGACAGAGGGTGGCACTGAGTAAGCTTGAAGGTTCCTTCCACCCCAAACCATCCTGGGATTCTGTGATTTGTTACGTGCAGGGAATCTCTAATTGCTGAAGTGTTTTCCTTCCAAAGGAAAAACCTGGKGATGGAGTAGAGACATGGAGTGACGAGGCAGGTTTGCAGTGGGGTTTGTGCTGCTTTAGTGGGGAARGAATTCAAACAAAACAAACAGAGTGTGTGGTGGTGTGTGCTATTTTAGGAAGAGGAACAGCTCATAGTGTTATTTAATAGGAAAAGAATTATCTCAGAGAAAAGCAGGAAGCTGAGGAGYGAGAGGCTGCTGAGCTCTCCAGCCCTGGAGCCATTCCTGGGGGGATCCTGGGCTGGGGAGGCAGGGGCACAGCCAGCCCTGGGCATGGGCTCACAGCACCCTGGGGCTCCCTGAGCATCCCTGGGGGCTTCCCTGAGCATCCCTGGGGGTCCCCTGAGCATCTCTGGGGGTCCCCTGAGCATCTCTGGGGGTCCCCTGAGCATCTCTGGGGGTCCCCTGAGCATCCCTGGGGGTTCTCTGAGCATCTCTGGGGCTTCCCTGAGCGTCTCTGGGGATTCTCTGGGCATCTTTGGGGGTTCCCTGAGCATCCCTGAGTTCCCTGAGCATCCCTGGGGCTTCCCTGAGCATCCCTGAGGGTTCCCTGAGCATCCCTGGGGGTTCTCCTGATCCAGGAGCAGCCCCTGATCCAGGGGCAACCCCCAATCCAGGGGCACCCTGGGGCAGCTGGGGCCAGGGCTCACGTCCATAACTCTTCTAAAGGAGTTGTTGGAGGCTGCAGTGCCATTGAGCTGGATTAAAGACAAGAACAGAGAGAAATCTTGACATCTGCAGCAGATGTTTGGAGGGAGGGGCTGTGTTAGAAGGGACAGGGCCCTTCTGGGGGGGATGCTCTGGACRGGGTCTGGGTGAGCTGAGAGCATCCCTGGGGCACCCACAGCCCACAGAGGCAGAGCCAAAGGGCCTCTGGGTGGCCCTGCCAAGCTGGGCTGCACTGCTTGGAGGGGATTGTCTCGTGTTTCTGTCTGGGTTTTTTATTTTAAGTAACATATGAATAATCAAGATTTGCGTGTTTATCAGATGAGCTAAAAAAATATTTCTCACAGTGTTGCTGCGGAGTTTTCTGACACTGAAACCAGAACTTGGGCTGAGTTGGTCAAATAATGAAAGGCAGTCCTGGGTARTTTCTGGCTTCTGTGTTTTTGGGGTGTACGTGCTCTGCTGCACTGMTGAGGGATGTGGGGCTCCTCATCTGATGGGGCTGCAGTTTTATTARCAGTAATACACGTGCTAAGAAAGCTGATATGTTCAAAAAGGGCAATTAATAACTGCAGTRTTGGGCAGGGTGAGTGCCTGTGATGTGGTTCAGCTTTCCTCCTGTGCAGCAGAGAAATGTGGGGGTCCATGGCAGCTGGGGACCTCAGAACTGGGGTGCAGAGACAGGAGGGAGAGGATAAACCTCGGGAACAGGCCCAGACGGGGTGGAGGGAGAGGAGCATTTTGATTGGAAATGATTTCAATTTCTGCCTTACTGCATCTTTGKGCTGCCTCCTGCCTCACGTCCATATGTCCAGGCAGTTGTTCCCTGTGGCACAGAGRGCAGGAGCAGTCCCCATCCCTGCTCCTTCTGCAGGAATGCTGCAACTCCATCCTCTGCTCTGCACACCCTGCTTCCAATGACACTTGTGCTATTCTTTGACCCATGAGTAGGTGAAACCTTTAATTTTCCTCTTGGGACACGTTCCCCACTGCCAGGATCCCTGTGATGACCCAGCTGGGGTTTGCTGTTCCYGAGGGGGAGGAGATCTCTTAGTTCTGATGTTTTCCCGAGGGGAATCTCACCCCCTGAGCACCTGCAGCCTGGATTGTCCCTGTGAGCCTGGGTGACACTGGCACAGGGTGCCCAGAGCAGCTGTGGCTGCCCCTGGATCCCTGGCAGTGCCCAAGACCAGCTTGGAGCTTGGAGCACCCTGGGACAGTGGGAGGTGTCCCTGCCATGGCAGGGGCCTTGGAATAAGGTGAGCTTTAAGGTCCCTTCCAGCCCGAACTGGTCTGTTATTCTATGACTAAACCAATTTTTCTTCATGCCAAATGAATTGAAATGAAATGAGGTGCCCRTGGTGCTGCTGGGCTGGTGGTGGCTGTGCCAGGGGTGCTGCTGGAGTGGAGCTGGTTACAGAGAATTGCTGTTTTTGTTAGAGGATCTGCAATATCACCCCCGTCTCTTTCTCCTTTTATAATGTACTTTCTCACCCAGGAGTCAATGCTGTGGAGGTGCGGAGCAGGAGGATTTCACTCTGATTATATTTCAAACGTTTAGGGAATTATTTTTCATGCGTGGCCATAATTTGACACCTGAGCTTTGCTTTGTTCTGGTGGCGGTGAGTCCAGCACAGATGGTGCCGGGCTCGTGCCCTTTCTGTGGGGCTCCCAGACCCTCCCGTGGGTGGGCATCACCCTGATCTGTGTCCCCAGCACTGTGGCACCAAGGTGGGGGCCAAGGCAGAGCTGCAGCCGAGCTGTGTGTACGTGTGCTCAGCAGAATTAATTATCTCTAATCGCTCTCCTGGGCAACAGCGGCTGGTTCCCTTTGGTTTTGCTGCGGTGGTGTTCTCTAGTTTACGTGTTTTAACCGAGATGACAGTGATGGTTATCTCCTGCACAAATTGTTTGCTGTTATCAGGGCGGTGGTTGCCATGGGCTCTGTGGGGCAGCTGCTAATGGGGATCTGGAGAAGAACCCACGGGGCAGGGGATGGCCATGGAGCACGGCACCTTTAGGAGGGCACGCTGCTCAACCAGGGATTGCTGGCAGAGGAGAACAGCAGAAAATTCCTCCAGGTCTTCTGCCTAAAAATACAGCCAGGGCTTGTTTTGCTCGGCGTGGAGCAGCTCCGCGCCATGCTCAGGGCTGCGCTGCCCTGGAGAGCCCCACGGGAACTGTTCCTGTGCTCCCCACACCCAACAGCTCCAGGAACCCACCGGGGCACCTGTGCCAGGCCAGGGGTGCCAGCTCCCCCAGGAATGTGCTTTCCCTGGCATTGTTCTGCCGCTTTCCCCCGAAGGTGCAGCCGGCGAGGAGGCTGACGCCTCTTGGCACAGCAGGGCTGATTTCATCCCCGTGGCAGCTGTTTATGCTGCTGTCTGGTAACTATTCATTTGCTTGATTTATGTATTGCTTCCAGTAAGTCATTCTTGTCCAGGACGTTCTGGAAATTTCCACTAGCCACTGAGGCCTCTGAGATGCTCGTGTCCCATGTGCTGCTCTCCTGATTTGGGAGCTGTCTCCAGCCGGTGGGGCTGGGCCAGCAGTGATCCTCATTGCTGCCTTCAGCAATGCCATTTTTGTGGCCTGTTTCTTTTCCTTCTGGATCGTGGCACTGCTGCATCCCAGGCAAAGCCCCGGAGTTCAAGTGACCAAAGGATCTGGGTAGCAAAAGAGAGGGCACCTGGAAGGAGACTGAGTCCCTGTAGGCACATTCTGCCTTGCAGGAGCTGGGAGAACCCTGCCTGGAGCCAGGCTCTCCTGGGTCAGCTTCATGCTGTGCTTTTTTACCCCWTTTCCTTTTTCCCTCATTGGAATGAGATGGGCTTCAAGGYTCCTTCCAAYCCAAKGCATTCTGTGRTTGTGTGATCTGGAGGTGCCAGGTCCTCGATGGGAACAGCCACACCTTTGGTTTGGCCTTTGCTCTCCTCTCCTGCACGTGGAGGAGCTGCTGATGCTTCCGCAGAGGCGAGACAGCCCTGCAGCACTCTGTGCCTGCCCTCGCCAGCTCTGCCTGCCTTGTACTCCTCTGCTTTTGTTTTTAATATGAGATTCTGCAGAATCAAAAACCACCACAAAAAGCCCTGTAGGTGTTTGCTGGGTTTTTGGGGCTTGGCTTCCTGTAATGTGTAAATTAG